GCGTTCGATAACCACGTTCTCTGCCTGAAGGAACGGCGTTCTATAACCACGTTCTCTGCCTGAAGGAACGGCGTTCTATAACCACGTTCTCTGCCTGAAGGAACAGCGTTCGATAACCACGTTCTCTGCCTGAAGGAACGGCGTTCGATAACCACGTTCTCTGCCTGAAGGAACAGCGTTCGATAACCACGTTCTCTGCCTGAAGGAACGGCGTTCTATAACCACGTTCTCTGCCTGAAGGAACAGCGTTCGATAACCACGTTCTCTGCCTGAAGGAACGGCGTTCTTCAATGAGGTTCTCTGCCTGAAGGAACCACGTTCTATAACCACGTTCTCTAATTGAAAGAACCATGTTCTATAACCACGTTCTATAATTAAAAGAACCATGTTCTATAACCACGTTCTCTATTTAAAAGTGCCACATTCTATAACCATGTTCTCTAATTGAAGGAACCACATTCTATAACCAAATTCTCTGCCTGAAGGAACAACGTTCTTCAATGACGTTCTCTGCCTGAAGGAACCACGTTCTATAACCACGTTCTCTAATTGAAAGAACCATGTTCTATAACCATGTTCTCTATTTAAAAATACCACATTCTATAACCACATTCTCTATTTGAAAGAATCACATTCTCTAATTGAAGGAACCACGTTCTATAACAACGTTCTCTGCCTAAAGAAACCACGTTCTATAATGGAAAGATCCATGTTCTATAATCACGTTTTATAATCCCTCTGTGTGAGGGAACCACGTTCTTCACGCTGAATGTGTGTTCTCTGTGTTTTCTCTAAGCTTGTGGCCCTTCTTGTGATGAAGGCCTGCTTTGCTGAATTGTCCCAAAGCAGCTCCCATAGCGTTATTCCTGGTGGGCGGGGTCTAACCTCTTTGAACTTTTCCAGTGACTGTTCCGGCCCAAAGACAAACTGCAGGGGAACCTCCTCACAGTGGCAGTGCGGCCGTCCGTTGGACTGGAACACATGCTCGGCCACTTTGTTCAGGGTTGCCGAGGCGATGACCCGGGAGTGACGCAGAGCGGAAACGATTTCGTCTTCCAGCAGCCAGCGGATCTGAAGCACATGGAAGACATGGATCCGGTTCTAATCAGGACCGGCTGTCAAGCAGACTAGTACAGCTTTGGTCAGCTGGACCAGACGGAACCAGCCCAACAGAACCAGCCCTTCTAAACAGAGGAGCAGAACTCACCTCATCCAGCGTGGACAGAACCGCCAGTCTGTGGGCAAGTGGGAACTTAGACAAGGGATCCCCAGAGACTCTGGAGGAGACAGAACATGAGCTTCACGGATCAGAACCTGAATATGTCTGAACGGCATTGTGTCAGCACGCACCTCTCTGTCCCAGACCCTCTGAGGCCGTCCAGCGCCGCCATCTGCTCGTCATCAGAGCGGTAAGAGGAGGGCAGGCCCGGAGATCGGCTCAGGGAGACGCTGCTCTCTGAGGTGTACCTGGAGGGGGAGGATGCTGCGGCTGAGATGCTCCTCACTGGGTCAGAACCGGGCCGTTCAGTAGAACATTACCTGTTGTGGTGGTAATCGGCCATGAGCTCTATCTCCAGGGGAAGGGTCAAAACGAACACGTCCAGGGTCACTGAGAGCTCCGTCAGGTCCACCATCTGGAGGTGCTCTGGGTTCTCCAAGCAGGACATGATCTGCCCTGAAAGCAGAACGACAGACAGAACCAGTGACTCTGAAGGTTCTACCCCTACTGGGTTAACCCATTACATAGATTACAGGCATGTCTGCAGACATAAAAACCTGGATGACTCTTAACTTTCTGCTTCTGAATGCAGACAAAACAGAAGTTA